TGAAAGATTCTTAAATTTAGATTAGAAAGGTCATTGAAGTCGTGAAGTGTGTTCAAAGATTCTTTGTATATATCTGGTTCAAATGATTTAGATTAGAAAAGGTGTGTTTGTATATATCAAGTGTATTCAAAGGTGTGTTTGTATATATCAAAATAGGACCATATAATGCAATATTAAACAACATATGAATAAATGAATGAATATTGATGGTTGTGACGAATAATAAATAATGGCAATATCCATTTGTTCTTCGCCTATCAACAAAGGAAAAAAAAATTTTTAAATATGTTTTTTTAATCTGTTTTGAAATAAACTAAAATATATATTTAATGTTTTTTTAAGTGTCAGGCACATGCCGAAAGTACACATTCATTTAACAATTGTCACTTGATAAAGTATACAATTTATAATCTGCACTTGGCGTAAATAAACATTCATTTATCGTTGACATTTGACGAAAATTTACAATTTATAGTTGCCACTGGACATAAAGATGCATTCATTTACATTTGGTGCTTGACAAAAATTTATACTATATACATACTATATACTATACATATTTATATTATGTATTACGCATATTTATACTTTAAAAATATTGCAATTATGATATAATGAGTGTGTGTTTGTGAACGTCAAATCCTATCATTTTTCGTGTTTATATCACAACCCATTTTAGAGGGCAAACAAAAACCTTTTTTTTTTAAGCATACGCCTAATAGATGCATTTTACAGCAGAACACTGCTCAATGCACAAATCATTACATAAAGGAAACCTACTAATAGAGAAAAAAAAGTAACAGAAAAAAGAAATGAAGTCAATTCCTACTTTTTTTCACTCTATTGCGGAAAGTCCTTTATAAATCATTTTCATTAATTTTTTTTTAAGTTTATCTGGCGCCATGTAGTGGTAAATATATGCAACTTAAAATTAAAAAAAAACCTAAAATTAATTAATTTAATTTAACGAATGAATTAACATTTGAAAAAACTGCATTAACATCCAGTATCATCCACTACAAGTTAAAAAAAAAAGGTATTTAAACTCGAGTGGATTAATAAAAAGTGTTTTATGAACTATTGAAAATTTGAACAAGATATATATAGGGTGAATGTGAGCTAATAGAAAGAATTGAAAAAAATAACACAGACCACCCACCTAACGCATTCAAATCCGAACCTCAAGATTGTTTTTAGAACACTGTGATTTATGCCACCCTCTTCCAGAGATTAAGCGACCCGCTCCTCGATAACGATGAAATCATCGATACAGAATTCCGATCGATATGAAAGGAATGGCTCCTTCATAAGAAAAATATTGGGAAATGCCTCTTCCTGCAAGATTTCATCTCGCCCATAAAGGCGGGAAGAACGCATAAAGTGCAGGTCGTACTCCCGGGGAATGGTATGCGGTCAAAAGGAAACAGAAAATGATTCCTTGTTTTATGGCTGTTCGTAAACAGAAATACTTCAACCTGCTTGCTTCTGCATACCACTTCACACGTTATTACTTTGCAACCAGTTTGAATAGATTGCTACGAGCAGTTGCTTCTTTTCATGTACACTCAAGAGCCAAAACATTATGACCACCCCTACATTTTGCAATGAACTCGCCTGGATGACGTGGAAGGCACGTGATCAGGTGGAAGTGGTATTTAACTGGTATTAAGTGATGGTACTAATCCACGCCAAGGCGGGTTGAAGCTGTGTTGCGCGCCAAATGTGGGCCAACTCGTTATTGACAGGTGGTCATAATGTTTTGGCTCTTGAGTATATATATATGCTCTTCTGAAAAAGTACTGTTTATTTATGCACTGTTAAAGGTATCTTGAAAATGACTTTTGAAAATAGGACTTGGTGTCTGATTACGAGAAATGTTTTGTTTTTAACCCAATGTTAAGCTGATTTTTTTTATAAAAATAATGAGTGTATGCGGGGCCTGATGGCCGATTGGCTTACGCTGTGGCGCTCGGTATCACAGGTTTTGGATTCGAGTCTCGTCAGTATCATGAATGTTTGTAGTGGTTCGGAATCCTCTTTAAGCCATATATCCCGGACTAATAAGATCCTAGAATGCTGTGGGGATAGCGTTACTCAGGTCCGTAACTTATCTTCTAACTACACATGCCCCATGTGTATTGCTGAAGGAATGACAACGGTACAGCACTTGCTTATGGCATAAAGTGAACCCTCTCTGTATTGCCAGCTGCATTAGAACAACAACATATTGAGTTTATGCAAAAAAAAAAAAAACTGCTTCTGCATACTACACTTCTCACGCGCCGTTATTGCCTTTGCACCCAGTTTGAATAGATTTCTTTTCACGTATATGCTCTTCTGGAAAGTCCTGTTTATTTATTTCGGAAGTATCAAGTATGATTTGAAGAGTTCAAGTATGAAAGTGCGATTTTCAATTTGAAAATAGGACTTAGTGTCTGATTACAAGATATTTTTTATACACTATACTAAGCTAATGTTTTTCATAATAATATTGACTGTACCGGTAATTATAATTAGAACCACTAGTCGCAATGAGTTCAAATTTGAACTGGAGATATTGGAAGAAGAACCACTAGTCGCAATGAGTTCAAATTTGTACTGGCATTGAAAAAAAAAAAGTTCCACCGATTTTTCCCGACATATTTCCACCGACACAATCCAGCACGTTGAACGCTACAGTTGGTTTAATGTGCAAATAATGTGATGTCATTTCGATTCAAAATATTACTGGCGAAATATCACTTATATTTTATATTATATAATACCTATTGTAGGGCCTGAATGGCCGAGTGGCTAGCGCTCTGGCGCTCGGTAACACAGCTTTCGGGTTCGAGTCCCGGCGGTGCCATGGATGTTGTAGTGGTTCGGAATCCACTTTAAACCGTAGGTCCCGATCGAATATGATCGTAGTGCTTTGCGGGGGCATTGTTACTCCTTGTCCGGGGCTTATCTTCAAGTTACACGCGCCCCCTGGGTAATGCGAAGTTAGTAACGTTTGTGCAGAGCTTGCCTTAAGGGATCCAAGTGCCTAAAGTATTTGCCAACTGCATTAGAAGAAAAAAAAATAATACCTTTTGTGTTGCTTACTATTTATATTTTATTATGCTTATTTTTTTGTATTTTGCTTCAACAAACTTGTTTGAACAGAGTAAATAGCTCAAAGATACCTCCACATTTAAACTAATATCGACAAGATGAGATCGCATACACAATGAAGACATAAATATTAACACCCTATCCAAACATTTCTTGAATCTTTAAATTTTGCTTATTACACATATATTATATTTTATGTTGCTTATTATTTATATTTTGTATTTCACATTGAACGTTATTATTTATTTTATATCGCTTAATACTATTTACTTATTATTTATATATTATTATATTTATATTTATAATTTACTTTAACAAACTTGTTGAGAATAGATTCCTCAAATTTTCCTGCATCATCAAATCCTCCAAACACTTCTAGAATCTTTAAGCTTATTTTGCTTATTATTTATATTTTATATTGATCCTTATTATTTATTTTATATTGCTTAATGTTATTTGCTCATTACTTATGTATTATTTTTTTTAAATTTATAATTTACTTTAACAAACTATTCTTTAGAGAATAGACATCTCAAATTCACCTTCATATATGAACCAGCATTAAAACGGGTGAGATCGATTACAGACTGAAGAATTTAAATATTAACGCCACTATCCAAACACTTCTAGAATCTTCAGGCGTCATCCCATTTAAATGGAAAATTCTGATTTCGAATTTAATATTCGTCTTCATTCCTCAACAGAACCGCGTATTCAAAAATTCCGCAGAAATCGTCTGTGCACTAAGTGAAAGGCGCCTTAGCCGTTCACGTGCAGGAACAGAACACAAAGGCAGCATTGAAATGAAGTTGAGTCGCGGACGAATCTATCCCATGAATTCTTGCGGGCGCCAATTGCGTCTTTTCTAAAATTAACCCAACCGACTTTTGAAACTGATAGTAATTCAAATTAGCCATTCGACGGTTTGGGGCGTGTTCGCCCATCTGGTTAAATAAATCTTCCGGTGGAAGAGTTTAGATTTAGTAAAGTCACATTGTTCCATTAAGAAGGAGAGTTTCAATTTGAGGAAATAAATCGATTCCAAATAGATCTCCTACTGTTTAATGTAAATGTTTGGCGATTTTCTCATTTACCATTTTGAATTTCATAATTTATATAATTTATTTTCCTTCGTTTCCATAATATTGACCGTAGAGGTCAATTTGAAGATGTATTCCCAGGCGTGGAAGAAAAATATATAATAAAATAACCATAAAATAACTTTTCTAGTTTGTAGGCCTCCGAAGTTAAAACTAATGAATGTAATGAATCGCAATTTCATATAAGGACTCTTACAAGCTATAGGGGATGAATTCCCCCACCCCCCACAAAAAAAATCTCAGTGCTACTAAATTTGCCAATAGATGAAATCTTAGTGCTACTAGGTACGTATTAGGAAATCTAATTGGACGGGAAAATTTAACTGTGCGTGCTTCATAAACACGTTATCAAAAATGCTGCATATAGCTAGATTTTTTTTATTCTCCTGGACTTTAGAACTTTGTTGGTAGTCATCCGTGATACACGAGGGTTTTTGTGCATTTGCAAAAATGTTGTCCATCTAGAACTTTGTGAATTATTTACCACGTGAACACTTTACCGCTCTTAACTGTAAAAGTACTTCGGGGTAAGCATTTATCTGCCTGGATTTTAGAACTTTCTTGTTGGTAGTCATCCGTGGAAGAGGCGGGTTTTTTGTGTCTGTATTTTGTATTTCTTTTATTTTTGTGTGCCATATCATCATTGTAATGTGTAAATAAAAGTATTGCAACTATATTTGACTTAATTCTCTACATCTCGTTCATTTGGATATCTTATTCATATAGTTATGTTATAGTTATGGAACTTTCTAGTTTTAACGGATTATTTTGATGAGGTAAAACACGTTGTGTATGTTAGTTTTATTACGGCCATACCATGCTGAATATACCGGTTCTCGTTCGATCACCGAAGTCAAGCATCATCGGACGCGGTCAGTACTTGAGTGGGTGACCACCTGGCCAACACCGCGTGCCGTTTGCATTCACACATTTGGGACCTGAATGGCCGAGTGCCTAGCACTCTGGCGCCTCGGTGCCACAGATTTCGGGTTCGAATTCCGATGATGCCATGGATGTGTGTAGTGGTTCGGAATCCACTTTAAGCCGTAGGTCCTCCTGTGACTGTAAGAGCGTCACGGAGCCAAAGTCAGACTTCTATCTACGGGTGCTCCATCCCAACAGAAGCTGCTTCCTTCCCCTTCAATCATGAGTACGTATTTGCTCGTGGGCTTGGCCAGTCAAGTGAGATAAGAAACAACAACAACAGTGTTATTATAAAACTTGCGTTCCTCGAAATAAAACATAAGGCAGGCCGTTACAAAAGCATTCCAAGTGCCAATATGCATTAACATTTAGGTGAATGGACAATTGCACGTGGTCAAGTGACTGTACATTCATTGTCTGTACATCCAATTTTCTCAAATGTCTGTACATTGACAATTGTGCACCTGGTCGAGGAGAAAAATCAAATTAATTTGGTTTATATATTAATTTGATTTAAGGATATATTATTATTCTGTGAGTCTTTACTAATGAAATAACACTAATTAAATTTTGCACAACTATTTTGCATTTGATTGTAATAATTGACCAACGTTTGTTCTCGACAGAGCCAACATGTATCCTATCGAGGACTGTTGGTGCTTTTTTTGCACACGAATTCATCTTCCGATGCCTTCCACTGCTATGTGGTGAATAAAAAGTACACAGTTTCACACAAGACACATTTTACTACTAAGTGGAGAAAAAACCAGCAAAGTTTCACTTACAACTGATACTTTATTATCATTTACTGCATTGTGGGAAATAAAAAAATTAAAAAAAAAAATAAATGAATAAAAAGTTTCACACACACAAGACACTTTATTACACATCAAGGCTATTTAGTGACTAATAAGGTATACAATTTCACATACATATGACACTTCATTATTCATCACTGTTGGAAGGTGAATAAAAAAAATACACTATTTAATTACACAATGCTTATTTTTTTATTCGCTATTGCTAGGTGGAAAATAAAAAAAAAAAAACCTTGAGAAAAATAAAATTAATAGAAATGATATAAATATTTCTTCGACAAATTTATAACTGATTATTTCTAAATCTTGAATTCGCTGAAAAAATATAGAAGTTAAAAAAAAAAAAATAAGACGTAAAAAAAAAAAAAAAAAAAGGATTTCCGAAAAACGAATTTAAAAATTTAATTACTATCTTTTAAATTCAGCTAGTGAATTGAAAAATAAATAAATAAAGGAATAAAAAAGATTAGTAACCATGTAATAAAAAATCAAATAAAAGTATGCTCTTCTAAGAAAAACGCATTGAAGGAAAACCATCATTGGTGTTTTTAACTTCCATTTTCTGAATCAAATGCGATTCAAGCAGTCACGTAGCTCTCATTTTAAGCTCGACTGCAAGTGTCATTCATAAATCCCTTCAACTATCCCCCTTTCAAAATGGAGATGCGGCACCGAATCCCCTTTTGCCATAATTAGAAATAATTCCCAATAATTATTTGTTGGCTCTCGCGTCAGGAGCGATTTGAAGAGTGGCCGTTTTGGGGAAGAAGTCGTCGTCCTTGTTTTCACGGAGTTCCTTGGTCTATGATGACCTATTACTCCAGGGTGGTATATTAGAGTTCATTGGTGAGAGGTAAAACATTGATGATTATAAACAGTAATAAGTGATCAAGGTATTGCCCAATAATGAAAAATAAAAAGTTAAAATTAAAAGACTAATGAAGAGATAAAAATAAAATATAAAAGATAAAAAATCAGTTACTGAGTAAAATATATAAAAATACAAATAGGAGTATACTACGGAGTAGAGTAATTGCTGCTAGAAATGATGACTAATGGGGACAGGTCAGGTTCGAACCCGCTGTCTTGCGGCAACAAGGACTCTACTCTGAGCACCGAGCCAGTTCGTCTAGGTCAATTGCAAATTGTGCAGAGTCGCCCGAGGGCGTTTAGCGTTTTCCGGCAATGTGAAATCGTATCTATTGGGGAAGAAGTCTTTCTGGCAGGACGATCATTTATCTAAATGATCGCTCCGGTTTATGCACCCTTCGAAGAGAGCGCAAATTTCTCGCAATTGTGTGTGGTTGTAAATGAATTTATTTAAGGATTAACGGACTGGTTGAATTTAGGGGCTGGCTCGAATAAACGATTAGAATGGATCTTTTGAAAAGTATAATTTGGAGTGAAAAGTATCTTTTGAAAGATTCTTTGGATGGTTTAACGGAAAGTATGGGCGGCAGGTGAGACAGTTCGACATTTGACGCGTTTGAAATAAATCCAAGACTCACAGAACTTCAATAAAGCTACCACATACTACCAGAATATATACATTTGTATTTAAAAAGGGGAAGCTAATATTATAATTTAATATTTACGAAGAGCATTCAAAAATGTCGCTCTTATGCACAGGTGTTTCCATTATTTTGATAACCCCATGTATATTTTTATTCTAAGAAACAGTAAACACACAATTTTTATATGTAATTATATGCAAAACAATTTATTATTCATCACTTCTAGAAGGTTAATGAAAAAACGAACACACTGTCATTAAAACAGGACCCTTTTTTTATACTCCACTGCTGGGTGGAAAACTAAAAACTGTCTTGCGTAAGATAAAAATAATAGAAAAAAAAATGATATAAATATTTATTCATCAAATTTAAAACTGATTAATTTTAACTTCATTAATTCGATTAAAAAATAAAAAAAGTATACCGAAATTTAAAAAAATCAAAAAAGATTTACTTATATTAAAAAAAAAAATAATGATAATAATATTACAGACATTTCAAATTCTGCTAGTGAAGAATATAAAAAAATCAATACTCACTTATTAAAAAATCAAATCAAAATATTTCATCAATAAATTTATAGCTGATTATCCCTAACTTTTGAAATTAGCTTAAAAAAAAAAAAAAAAAAAAATAAATAAATAAAAAAAAAAAAAGAAAAAAGATCTACTTACAGTCTTTTACATTCTGCTAGAGAATTAAAAAATCTAAACAAATAAAAAAAAATCAGTACCCACTTATTAAAAAATCAAATAAAAGTTTCTACTCCCCAAAAACGCGTTTAAGAAAAACCAACATTGGCAATTTTAACTTCCATTTCGTTATCAAAAGAGATTCAAACGTCACGTAGCGCTCATTTTAGGTTCGACTGCAACTGTCTTCCCTCCTCGCCATTCATGAGTCTTTCGACGATCCTCCTCTTAAAATGCAAATGCGGCACCTTATCCCCTTTTGACATAATTAGAAATAATTCCCAATAATTTGCCGGCTTCCGCGTCAGAGGCGATTTGAAAAGTGGTTATTTTGTGGAAGAAGTCTTTCTGGCAGAAGCTGACGGCGATCATCAATCCGAATGATCGCTCCGCTTTATGCACCCTTCGAAGAGAAGACGCAACGTTCTCCTCCACATTAACGTATTTATTTAAGAATTAACGGATTGGTTCAATTTGGGGCTTGCAAAGTATAGAGTAAACGATTAGAACGGCTCTTTTGAAAAGTATCATTTGGAGTCAAAAGTGTCTTTAGAAAGATTCTTTTGATGGTTTAATGGAAAGTATGGGGCGCAGGTCAGATAGCATGATTCGAATCGAAGCTATTTCGCTTTTCAGAGATTTATTTGGAAATAGGATGTGGGTCTACTAAACAGATACACGGGTCTTGTATCTGTGATAGGGTCCAATTCATCCTACGTTTATTTAGACAACTACATTTACCTTTATTCTGGCGTTCGGTACCACAGGTATCGGATTCAAATCCTGGCTTTGCCCATAGGTGTTTGCAGTGTTTCGGAATCCACTTTAAACCGTAGGTCGCGGTCATAATAGGATCGTAGAGCGTTGCGGGGGCATTGTTACTCCGCGTCCGTGGCTTATCTTTAAGTTACACGCGCCCCCTGGGTAAATGTTTTCTCCCTAAAAAAACAAGTGAGTAACGTCTGTGCAGCGCTTGCCTTAAGGCATCCAAGACGTCCATATCTAAGTGTTTGCCAGCTGCATTAGAAAGAAGAAGAAAAAAAAACATTTACCTTTACTTATATTTTACTGTGCATAATCTACTACGCATAATCGCTGCATATACTGTTTACATCCTACTGTTATTTATCTTCCCAATTTTTGTTTAGGAAACATAACTGCTAATTTTTATAAATATTTTTCAGTTTTGATCGATTAATATAGGGAGCATTCTACCATTTTCGAAACGTTCTCTGATTTTTATAATAATATTACATATATCTAAATCTTTGTATAAACATAATATATGCGTTTATTTATTAGTTCAACTTGTTGTCCAATGGTAATGTGTTCAACGGAAATGAAGGAGAGTTCATATGTTCGTTGCAGTCACTAAGTCGTTATGGCACAGTGTCACTTACACAGAGCACTTTTTAATCATCACCCTTAAATAGTGTATAAAAAAATAAGCAGTGTACTTGTTAACAGTTATTCGCTATTGCTAAGTAAAATTTTAAAACTACCTCTAGTATAATAAAATTAATAGAAATGATATAAATACTTCTTCAACAAGTTTATAACTGATTCTCCCTAATTTTTAATGAGCTAGAAAAACAAAAAATTTAAACAAAACTAAAAAGACGGATTTCTTTAAATTGAAAAAAAAAATCCACTTGCAAAATTGTAAATTCTGCTAGATTATTAAAAATTCTTAAAAAAAGGATAAAAAAAAAAAACAGTTCTCACTCCCTAAAAAACCAATTAAAAGTCTTCAACTCCACAGAAAATGAGTTTAAGGAAAGAACCAACATTGGTATTTTTAACTTCAATTTCGGAATCGAATGAGATTCAAAACGTCAAGAAATCAAGTAGCGTTCATTTTGTGCTCGACTGCAACTGTCTTCTCCGCTCGCCATTTATAAACCTTTCAACTATCCCCTTCTGCCATAATTAGAAATAATTCCTCATAATTTACCGGCGTCAGGAGCGA